ATAATGATTATAAATTGGTTAATAATCTTAAATAAGTGCAAAACCTAAAATTTTCATCTTAAATTAACTAAACTTGAATATTAAACTAACATCTTTTGCTTCTACTTATAAAATTATGTCTTTAACTTTTAATATATTATAAATTTATTGGTTTGGATATGTTGTTAATGTGAATTATTGTTATTTTAAACTTATAGCTTTGAATAGTATAACATACTTTAATTAATAATTTAAATATAATGTTAAAGGGTTCATTTAAGTTGAAATTTCAATTAAACTTAAAATAAAATCCAAATATTATTTTATAAATAGTTTAAATATGTAAATTGTAGTCTTAAATACAAACCCTAAATTGTAATCCCAAAATAACTAGAAAAATCTAAACTATTTTTATAATCATTAAGAGTTTTAAATAAATAGTTAAAAATAACTTACAACATCAATAGTCAAAAGTAACATTATGTAAAACATTATATTGTTACCGTTAAAAAGAAAACAATGTTTGATTTTTTTAAATAATTACAATAACAGAAATTAAAATGTTAAGCAAAAAAAATGTTAAAAAAGTTAATTAACAATGACAACAGTTATAAATAACATTAAACCATATATATATATATATATATATATATATATATATATATATATATATTCAACTATTATTCATTTTTATATAATATATGAGTTAAGGCGGCGTTTTGACAAAGTTTGACGGCAAAAGCAAGCCTTGGAGCCATGACGAACTTTTTAGAACATTAATAGATGTATATATTATAATATCATTCAAAATAATTAATGTTGAATAACAACTTAATATAAGAATTATTATATCAAAGTTAGCAACAACCTCATTGTTATAATTGATAAAAACATATATATTTATAAATATTTCAACTATATACTAATATTTTGCGAAACGAGGGAGCATTCGCGTACTATGTAATCAAAGTATTTTTCCCATAACAATTCCCTTCTTATTAATTACAACATATTTAAAATACATACATAAAGAAATATGGGACGGGTTTAATAAAAGAAGGATGCGGGTCGATATATTAAACATAAGTAACACTACAAGAGTACTCTAACAATTGTTATTTATTATTAATGAATTATTGTGTTTGAAGACCCACATGGCTAACTAAGCATAGCAAGGTCACAAAAGACCGGAAATTTGAATACTTAAAAGGTTGAAGTTAATTTGTTTACAAAAATAAGCTTGAAACATATAAAAAGCAGTTAAACATGGTTGCATAAATCGGGATTAATCGACGATTAATCGTAGATTAATTGTTTGACGTTCTCCAACTGTTAAGGATTAAGGTATTAATCAAAAATTTAGGATTAATCGGGTTTGGCAGGATTAATCGGTCTTGATGGGATTAATTGGTGAACAAACGTCAAAATAATAATAATAATAATAATAATAATAATAATAATAATAATAATTTTAAATTTAAAAATAAAATTCAAAAAATCAACTTTTTTACTCCAAAATTTCAAATATTATACCAAAATATTCATATTTTTAAAATTTCAAATGTAAAATTTCTTATTTTCTAATTTTGAAGTACTTGTTTTTCTTAAAATATATTAATATTTGATTAGTTTTAATATTTTATTAATAATCTATGATCCCCGATTAATCCCCGTCTAGATCGATTAATCCCTTAACACCAGTCAACCGTCAAGCTACCGTCGTACGATTTTTATAACCTTGATAACAAGTAAAGTTCAAATTCTAAGAACTTGTTCTGAAATTTTATTGAGCTTTTTCAACTCTTAAGTATGTGATAATACTTTTGGATCAAAGTTAGTCTATTAAACTTATCTCCTACCGATATTTTTGAGCTATTCATGCTTTTGGGTTGAGTTTAATTGCCATTAAACCATAGTTTTGATGGGTATTTTTGAGGTACTTGAGTTCTTAGATCTTGTTCGAGCCTGTAGGAACTCAAATCAAGTTTGAACTTGGCCTAACATTGCAGCTCAACCTGGCTTGTTTGCATCACTAAATATGTTTGCATATAGTTTTATCACACATCGTCACATTATTAATTATTTGATAAACAATAAGTTAATAACATATTGGAACTAAGGACCATTCTATGTTTTCACCACCAAAACAAACTCATTTGGACAAAAGTAAGTATATTATACTATTACTAGTTTATAACCTGTGAGAACCACGGTTATAAAATTAATTAAATTTTTATATTAAAAAATCAAAATTACTAATCAATTATTTTAAATAAATTATTATTTAAGATATATTTTTTTAGTTATATAAAATTATAATTGTTGATTTAAACAAATATGTAAAGTTATATCATCTTATAATCTGTATTGATTTTATTTTATTTTTTAATTTAATGTTATTAATTTAATATAATTAGAATGAAAAATTTTAAAATTTGAAATTTAAAATGGAGAATCAATTATTAATTAATTTAATATAATTACAGTGGAAAATTTAAATTTGAAATTTGAAATTGATAATTAATAATTTGACAAGTGGTATGATATGTTACATATAGTTATTAATGAGATATTCTGATAGAATGATACTTGTCAATAGAAGAATAAACATATTCATTTATTAGATTATGAAGATGAAGATGAAGATATGATGATGAAGATTTTATTAGTTAAGTCTTCATTGTCTTAATTACTTAATTAAAGCCTAGACAAAAAGGAAAGTTGTTCCAAAGACAAATGGAGGGATTTCAATCAACTAAGACCATTTGGTTGGGTCAACACTTCTCTTGTGGTGGGATATGAATGGTTAACAAGTGATGAAAGTTCCTTTTCTTGCTTTTCAACATTTGTGTTTGTGTGTGTATGTTAGAGAAAGCTATTTCGTTTGTCATCTTTCTTTTCTTTGGTCGTAAAGTAGTTACAACCTTTATTTAAGGACTCGAGATATTGATTCATAATTCATAATTCATTATTGATCCTACAATGGATAAGAGTCGTATATATATACATCACTCAATTTATAATAAACATCCATAACAACAATTAACAATAAGTTATCTTCCATCAAAACATGTAGATTTATCCAAAGATGTTAGATGTGTAACAACCAAGAAGCCCTCATCACCTTTCCCATAATTTGGTATGAATCTTGTGAAGATATTTGTACTTTCCAAGTGCTTTTCTGCCTATCATTTTTCATGTGGACACTTACATCACTTGTGAATGAATTTAATGAATAGAATAGTGTTGAGTGTAGTAGGATGGGGTGTGGGGTAGACAAAGCCCCCCACCTTTATTCTTTGTTGGTGTGTGTGAGGGCATAGCTTTTATGACTATTGAATGGCCTAACTTGGCATGTTTTTGTTGGCCCACATCATGAATAATTCTCTAATGCAAATGCAAATGGGTATCAAATTGGCCACACAACTTCTCAAACTTAGGGTTTGTTTCTTTCACAATGTTTGTTATATTTTAGAAAAGTTTTGTGGTTACACATAACCTCAAAGTTACAAGATATATGTCAATTTGAGAATAATGTGACTTTTTATTTATTTATTATCAATCAACTTCACCAAAGGAATTACGCAACATGCACCACTTGTAATATACCAAAAATTTGTAAATTACTAAATTGCCACACATGTAGACCCCAAACCATAAGTTACGTAAATGACTTATTGTGAGTAAGTTTGGCTCATTTACAAGCATAAGAAAGAGAATGACACATGAAAAGTAGGTAAAATGTGACATTTACTCTTTTGCATGTTAGGTATATGCATCTTTATTTGTTCAAATGTCTTAATTAACTCTCTTTTTATATTGAAAAGTTAAGAGAAAAGACAGTGACACCTGAAACAGGCATCTTTGTTGTATTCTCACACCCAAAAGAAAACATGAAAGCATCATCTTTGGTCTTTCCCCTTTTCAAGTGCATCTATCTGAATTCCTACACTTACTACTACTACTTCTCTCTTCCAGCCTTATAAGTATAAAGACTAAAGTAGCATCTCAATGAAACTTGGTTCTTTCAAGATAAGAAGAAGCTGACATTGACCAGTGACCACATCTCCATGCTAGCTGGCTGTTAATACCAATACTTTTGATTTTTTTTTCTTGAATAGCAAATTTTCATTAAAAAAAAACACTAGTAATGTGTTGAAAAATTAAGCGACCCAAAAACCGAAAACCATAGTTGGAATTTTAATCCATCCTACTCAATCAAATTCCTTTTACGTAATGGGTTTCAATTTGGGATTTGGGTCCAAAGCCCATTTAAGAATGGCCAGATTGAAGACCAGTTTTGTAGCCCAATTTTTAGTTACTTATTTTTCACTATTATTGGTTTTATAAGTTTTTTATATTACACTTAGTTATAATACTCTTCTATTATTATATGGGTCATCTATTATATAGGTTAATTTAAAAAAATATATATTAATATAAAAATCAAAATATTTCACAACTTTGAATTTATAAAAAAATAAAAAAATAAATTATTATAATGAAAATGTTTTTTATCTTTTAAATTTAAATAAATAAAATAAACTAATGAACTTTAATTTTAGAAATTTTGAAATTAAAAAGTAAGTTAATTAATGAAATTGATACATATTTATTGTAATTATTATATTAAAATATTATATATAATTTAATAAAATAGAAAAACTTATAAAATAACATATAGAAAAAAATTAATTTCAAATAACCATAAAATTATATTTGGTAAATTAAATAAAAGTATGACAACTAACAAAACTGAATTTTAATTTTTACTGAACTTTTCCGAAAATTTCGACACGGCACAAAAACGGTTTTCAAGGCCCAATTTAGTTACAATGGACCAGACCCAATCCGGATTTTCCAATAATTTGTTGAACTTTCAAGAGGCAAATAGATATCAATATTAAGAAAGAACATGATAACATTAAACACAAATTGAGGATAATCTTTAGATTATTACATAAAAATGATACGAAAACAATTACAAAGTAGAAAACAATTTAAAAGATAAAATATTTTTCCTATGGTAATTCACCATGCCATGCCCAAACAATTTCCTCAAGAGCTGGTTTAATCTCCTCCTTCAACATCTTCCTAAACTCCAACGCATCACCACATGATTTTGTCACCTCAACCAAATGAAACGACGACGTAATTTCAAAAACCTCAACTTCAATCCCCAATTCCCCGTTTCGCCCTCCACTCGGTTTCCTCAATTTTATCTTACCTCCCTTCTTCATCCCCACTTCCATCTTCAAACTCTTGGCAATTTCGTCAAATTTCAATATTATATCCGAAGCAATCTTTCTACATGTAAATTTCACTTCCTCTTTCTCATCATTTCCAACAAACAAACCCGATAAATCAAATCCAGTCGAAAGAGAAATAATATCAAACGCATTAAAACTCGACACCTTCGTGAAATCCAACTTCTTTGGCTCCTGCCAGAAACAACATTGAGCCATCTCAGGGGTTGTCGGTACGGTTGTCGGTATTGGTACTGGAACTATATCCCTTTTTACAGAAATGTCTCTGTCTGCGTCAGCTGACAGAGACAGGGACATTTCTCTGTGTTTGGTGTCTAAACCTTTTTTGAACCACGGATTTTCCATGATTTTTTTCATGGAAATTCTTGTGAGGGGATTCGGATCAAGAATTTTTTTTAAAAGCCTACGGACGTCGGGTGGGACCCAATTAGGGCATTTATAGTCGGCTCTGCTTATCTTCCTATACATTTGAATAATATTCGAATCATTAAACGGAAGATGACCCGTGAAAAGAACAAACAAAATCACACCACAAGACCAAATGTCGCTTTTACCCCCGTCATACCCTCTCCTACTAATCACCTCGGGCGCCACATAAGCCGGAGTCCCACATGTGGTATGAAACAACCCATCTACACGCGTACATGAATCATGAGCACTTAAACCAAAATCAGTCACCTTTAAATCCCCAAATTCATCTAACAAAAGATTCTCGGGCTTCAAATCACGATGGTAGACACCACGACTATGACAAAAATCAACGGCTAAGATTAATTGTTGGAAATACTTTCGAGCAATGTCTTCTTTTAACCTTCCTTTTGATACTTTCTCAAAAAGCTCACCTCCTTTTGCGTATTCCATTGCGAAATAGATTTTGGTTTTTGTAGCCATGACTTCGTAAAGTTGGATTACATTTGGGTGTTTGATCATTTTCATAACGGAGATTTCTCGCTTTGTTTGATCGATTAATCCAACTTTTAACACCTTTTCTTTATCGATTACTTTAATGGCTATACTTTGGCCGGATTTTAAATCCCTACCATGGTAAACTTTAGCAAAGTTACCTTGCCCTAGCATTTTCCCGAATTCGTATTTTTGCATCAATACGTTTCCCATATTCTCCATATTTTTTTTTGTATAAATAAAAAGTAGTAAAGTGGTTATTTACAGAAGTAGGGTTTTCTTGGGGTGAAGTGAAGTGAGGGACTAACCGTCTTCTACAAGCTCGTGTTTTAAGATGACAGAAACCCTAGAAATTGGGGAATTGGGGAGCATTTGGGCATGGTGAGTGAATGTGTTTTGATTATTGGATCCAAGTTCATCGAGGAGAATGAGTAGTTCATATGGGCTTTCAACCATGCGGGTTTTAGAGAAGGAATTACCAACGTTTGAACACATCATTCCGCATTCCCAGGTGGTTGACTATTACTGGATATCAACTTCTGAACGAAATGAAAAAAAAAAAAAAAAAAAAAAAAAAAAAAAGATAGTAAGTGGATTTGAATCTAATCGAAAGACGCATCACATGAGGAATCTGAAATTATGAGTTCCAAATCTCAAAGCTTTTGATTCATATAGACGCAATAATCTCGTAGGAAGAATTAAGAATTTAGGAAAAACATTCACATATAGAACCCTAACTCTAAGCCAAATTTCATTCGCTGAAACTCACATCATCCAAAAATTGATTAAATTGACAGCATAATTGTGAACTTAATTTGTTCATGCATCAGTAATTATGAGAATTCACGACGATTGAGTGATTTAGTTCTATGTCTAATCAAATAAACAGATATAATGAACAACTACAAGCAATCCTATCTAAGAAAACCAGGTAATAATTCACCTTTCATTGAAATCAAAACAGTCTTCAAATTCGACTAAATGCATAAAATTCAACTAGGGTTCTTAAACTACGAAACATCACATCAACAAAACAAAAAAAAAAAATTGAAAATTTTGAATCGGAAGGAAGAATTAGTTACCACTTCGAAGCAAAAATTCAGATGCGTAGATTGAAGAACGGCGATGAGATCTGATGGAAAGACTGCGAATAATTTTCTTTTGCGAGATCCCTATATATGAAGGGAGCGGGGGAATTATATAATCAAGGAAGATACTGGAAACAGAGAATGTGTTGGGACACGTGGCTAGGGGTTACGGGTTGCTTAGGGAGGCAGGAGGATGATTGGTGCAGGTGTATGGTAATAGGGTGGGGGGTGGAACAGAAAAATTGACCCGTAATATTCGATGGATGCACAACCACCACAAAATGATATATGGTTGATTAGGTGGAGCCATCATTATTGGCCAGGCTCCTAGAGGGGGCACGTGATGACTTAGATGTGATGGGGTAATTCCTCATGTCAATAGGCCCACTTGATGAAAATTTGAGATTAATTTATATTTGGTTAGTTTATAAGAAAACTCTTAATTATAATGAGAATTATGAATTATGAAAATTCTCACACAATTAAATAATATACTTATTAATATCTTCCCATTGTAGCTAGCTTATAATTTATTTTATTTTTTTAGTTTTATTAGGCTATAAATAAAATAAAAATAAAAACTTATAAGCAAATTTTTTAAAAAACAAAAACTACTCAAATTACCTTTTCAACCGGTTTATTAAGTGTTCTTTATTTTTCAAATATACTTCTTATTAATTGAAAAAATAAATAAATAAATAATCTTCTACATGCATTTTTATAGCATATTACATATTTCATCTAGTTTATCAACTAGTTTACCACATGTTATTTTTATCGGTTATCAGCTAGTTTTTCAACTACCAATTAGTTTTTCAACTATATAAATTTCGAATTTGATCTTTTTGGTTTGGGTTGAGTTTTTTTACATTAAACATAAACGACTTACATTGTAAGAATCGGATCTTAGTGAGGAGTTGTGGCTAATAAAGAAGTGATTTGCTCTTCCTACAATGTAATCTCGTATAACACTACACTTGCTGAATGAGAAATCAAATCGTGATCCATATAAAATTTTTGATGTTTTTCATATGAGGGAGAAAGACAAGAAACCACAATCATGGTAATTATATTGTTATACTACTTGCGCTAAGTGATTCATAGGGATTAACCACTTTCCTTTAAGGTTATTTATGAAATAACACAAAATAAAATTTAACAAATCCATTAAGTCATTTATCTAAATATAAGGTGTCCAATATGTTATCCCCAAAACGTATTGGATGGTTTGATGATGACAACGTGTATTAACATGTTCTTGGTCTATCAATAGATTTATAGCATTCTAGAGGAACACCAACACCAAGTGGCAAACTATTATTAATCAATGGAAAGCAAAAAGGAAGCAATCGAATGAGAGATTCATCAACAAATCTTTGTCGTCCTCTTTTTGAGATGGGGGTAGGTTATGGCCTTAGAGTGGGACTAACAAATTTAAGTTGCTGAACTTTATCCATGAACTTGCTAACAACAACCCTCAACTCCTGGTATAAGGCACTTTTTCAATTTGAGATGGCTTGTAAAATTTCTTCCCATTCAGTGTAATAATATTTAATTAGCTTAGAAACTAGAACCTATTATGGGAAAAACTAATTTTGCAATATCATAAGGACTTAATTCAACTAATTTCAACTAACAAACAAAGAAAAGGAATAAACTTCAATAATTAAGGAGTACTTCTGTTTAGATCCGATTTCACCTTCTATTTCTAGTTGATAAAATATATCAATTACCAATTTGTTAACTAATTATTATTATCAAATATCTAGACTTATCAACTTATGAATTGTCATGCAATGATCAAGCACAAGTTAAACACTAAATCGATAATGAACACAAATTGGACTATCAATGATAGTAGTTAATTTCCTATGATCAAGTTAAGCAACCAATCACAACTTAATATTAATTATGCTCTCTAAAATTGTTAAAGTTACTAGCTTTAATGACTTTATCTAAGATGTTATTAATCTTAGCTCTAATTATTTAATGATCATAAACAAATAGGTGAAAAATCCATGCATTTAGAATGATCAAATACCACACAAAATCTTATTAATAAACAATATAAGCTAGAACTATAACATGCTAGGGTTTAAATATCAAACACAAGTAACATCAATATATATATATATATATATATATATATATATATATATATATATATATATATATATCATCTACTAAACGAAATCAACACATAAGGATTAGGTTTATCTTCACCAATAGAAGTAAAAGGTTTTTAGCCTCGCATGATAGCAGAAAAACACACAAAAGTTATGTAATTAAGACTAGACATGAGCAAACAAATTAAATCTATGTATAATTATTCTATTTTCTTCGATTCTTGAGCTTCACTTGCGTCTCAATCTTCTACTGAGTTTCTAGAGGTTTTTAGTCACAATTCTCCTCAGAAAACCAGTTGGGGATCCTTACATTCGACTGAATAATCGAATACTTGAAGTTTCCATAAAACTAGTTATTGCAACGTGGTCAACCGCCACCACGTCGTGGTCTTCTTCGAAATCCTGTATTCTCCAAGTCAATGTTAATGATCGAGAATCTTCCATTCACCACGTCATGGTGGACGATCACCATGTTGTGGTCTTTTATCTTCAAGTCTTCTTTTTTATTTATTCCTGCTTTAGCCCATCCATTTCTGTTTCCAGCTCCTCATTTACTTCCTTTTTGTCCCAAGCATGTCTTTGCTACTACAAAACAGATTTCAAACATAATAAGCACCCTTTATCCCGAATTAATCATAATTACAGCTAAAAGTATTAAGAATTAATGCATGAGTTATATGACTAAATATACACATATCAACCCCCTGGTGTTAGGCCCCCCATCAGTTAGTGGCTCCCAATGATGTGACATCCTCTAATTCTTAGAATCAATTAAAAAAATTTTACGCTAATATTATCACTAGTGGAAAATTTCCTAGTACATTTGAAATTTTTTTAGTACAAGTGATTGTCTCAATTTAATAAAACCCTAAGGATGTCATAATCAATATAGAAACATAAGTTACAGCATAAAGACTTAATGGTTTTTAACTTTATTGCAAGTTGTCTCTTAGTCACTCAGCTTCCTAATCAAGTTCCAGTAGCTTAAGTCTTGATACATGTGATATATATAAACTGAGTGGGTCAGGTTGGGAAACCTGGTGAGATACATAGGGATTACAATCCCACAATATTGAAATGATAATATTCCTTAATTATCAGACCTGCAAAATCAACCATTACTATACAATACCCATGTAGGCTTATGTTTCCACATATTAATTCCTATCAATCCTCATATATTATCAGGGAGAAGTTATCTCTCCTGATGATCAGTTAAAGAGATTGACTACTTAGCTAGGGGCTTCCTTGGTCGGTGTAGTCATAAAGGCATATAGGTCATCAGAGAATTTAATGAATATGGTATCCTGTTTCATCTACTTCTGTGAGTAATAAGCTCGTGCTACCAACGTAATTCACAAGACTATCTAGAATGATCAATTTTTGTCACCTAATCTTGGAGGTTACCGTACATACCGTTATAGTTGTCTGATCTGGACCCACCATTTATGGTCATCAAAGGGGAATACTATAATGTACTCCCATATGGAGCTACCGTACATTGATACCTGGAAGTGTCATAGAATAGAGCTTTTACTCTCCCTTCCTAGCTTACACACATTCTCCTAATGATACTACCTTATATCAAACTTAACTGAACTAGGTATCTTCCATAAGTCTAAGTTTATCCCTAGACTAGATTACGATCCTGTAACTAACTTCTAATACCAACTCTCTTCTTGGGTGACACTAACATATCTTTAATGTATGTATACTCCATATAAAGTATTAGGTATTATTATTCACTTATCTTTTCAACAATGCTAGTTATAATATTATTATATACTATTATCTATTTATCCCAACATAAAATAGAACCATATCTGGTTCGCAAATATCATGTAACATCCCAAAATTCCAGGTAAAATTTTCATTTTAATTAAGTTATTATAAACCAACAATATAAGAAAACATCCATAATAACATATCATGTCAAAACCAGTACATCAATAATCAAAGCATGTCATCACAAAAACCATATCAAAGTGTAATCCCAAAGATCTCGTGTGTGGAAACATAGTGTGATGTATTGCGATCGAGCCGACTCCTTTCCTTTGAAAACGAAGTGCCTAAAACCAAAACTAAAAACTATAAGCACGAAGCATAATGAGTTCCCTTATCATACCACATACCATACAATCATATACTGTCATGCATATTGGGGTGCCCGACCTACCCTATGTCAGGCATATATAGGTGCCCAACCTACCCTGCTGAGCATACCAGGGTGCTTAACCTACCCCTGTTAGGCATACTGGGGGTGCCCAACCTACCCTTGTCAGCCATGTTTGGGTGCCTAACTTACCCATTCGGTCCTGTCGATCGGTAACCGGGGACTATTTCATCCCCTACTACTACCATATAATATCATATCACATATATCATAATCTGTCTAGCATAGTTGGGTACTAAACTACCCCTTCGACCCTATCGACCGGTAACCAGGGACTATTCCCCCTACTACCACTATCACATAACATCACATAAAACATATCAGATAGTGGCTAACCAGACAATTATCAAAAAGACAATTATCTAACAAACAACTTCTACTAGTGGGCCGGAATTGTGGCCTTAGACCCACTTCTGCTGGAAGGTAACTCACCTCACACTACAAAAGTCCAATAGACACAATCCCAGCTGCTGGATGATAGATTGTCGAGTTGGTAATATCAAAATCACCCAATTAATAATTGGGTTCCAACTCATAACCGTAAGTAAATTTGGGGTAAATACTACTTTACCCTTAACTTAGCTTTAACCAAGCCCAAGGCCTATTTCAAATGCCCAAAAGTCAACTATGAGTCAAAGCCCAACATATGGCCCAATTTTCCAGATTGGACCCAAACCTTTACATGGTCTTATTCTAAGGCCCAACCATTTAGTCCAGTGCAAACATTTGGCATTTCTAATGGCCCAAAATATCATAATCATGAAGGCCTAATTATGGGCCATCTATGGCCTAATTTTACAAATTGAGCCCATACCCTAACATACGGGCCTTACCTTAAAGCCTATCTAAATATTCTAGTATGTATGATTATTCTTGGATGGCCCACCAATAACCCAATCATCAAGGCCCAATAGAAAGGCCCAACAATAAACCCAAGGAAATTAGGGTTTCATATAAAATGACAATTAGGGTTAAGTGTTTCTCACTTAACCCATTAAGGACTTAATCCATTAAGTCTATCACTCAACAAGATAAGTTATATGATTTGATTGGGTGTAATTCACAACTGGATTCCAGTGGCCCAAAAGTGGGTCCCAATAAGTCCAAGGCCTATAAATCTAATATTAGGGTTTTCTAAACCCTAATTAGGGTTTCCAACCCAATCTTAGCCCAATAAGCCCAATAGCTAGGTCTTTTGATCAATTAGGGTTTCACTAGGCCCATTAGTCATATGTTTGGGATTTTAGGTCAATTAGGGCTTCATTGGGACCATTAGAGTTTCATTGGGCCCATTAGGGTTTTACTACCTTTGTCTAAATATCCCAACGAATCAAACACAAAAAGCATACCGCCACCCGAAACGGTGGCCGGTGGCGGCAGGAGATGGTAGCCATTACCTCACGGTGGCAGTTATCAGTTTCTTTCATTATTCCTTTAGCTTTTACAAATTTTACAATGTAAATTTCCAAATAAACACACACTAAAAAATAAACACAAACATACAGCCACCCTTGTGGTGGCCAGTGGTGGTAGAGGGTGGTAGTCACCACCTCACGGTGGTGGTGATTCCTTTTCCAACAAAATAAACACCCATATACCTCTCCTTTGACTTTAACACCCACATACATTCTTCTGATCTGCGAGATGCACCCTAACCACCCTCCCGGTGGCTCACGACGGTAATAACAACAATTTTGGGATGACATCCACCACCTCACGGATCGTAGTAGTGATCTCTTTTGGTTCTTAATCAAGCAGCAGCACACCCCGACAAGACCTTACTCGAAATCTAGACGTAACCACCACTTGGTGGTGCATAACGATGGCAGCAGCAGTTCAAGCATCCACAACGGCGGCAGAACGAAAAGGAAGAAGAAGAAGGACAACGACGACTGGTCACGATCGATGGTGGCAACGGTAATGACTATAGGCAGCAATGCAACAGTGGGTCTCCCGATCTTTACAACTGAATCACATCGAAGCAGCGACCTTCGTCTTCTTCGGGAGATAGGTAGCATCGGAGGCTTCACGGTGGCCAGAAGGTGGCAGATGGAAGTTGAAGATGGAGAGGGTGGTAGCTGGAAGATCACCCGACGGCTGCTCCTTAGGTTTAGGGTTTCTATAAGTAACGAGTTTATATATAACCCACACCATTCAAACTTCCTCCCATGTTTACACAAACAATCCCTCCTTCTCCTTTTTATTTCTATATATATATATATATATATATATATATATATATATATATATATATATATATATATATATATATATATATATCCTAAAATATAATCCACGCAATAAGCATATAATTCACAAATGAATTCCAAAAAAATTTAATACCTTAATTAATACATGTATTAAATCATGTTCATGAAAGTGACTATGAACTCACTTGATAAAATGGGTGACTAACGATTTTGGCAACGCTTTGCTTCACACTTCCAAGGAGACCTAGACGTAAAAAGTGTTAAGCCATATTCTAGTTTCATAATCCTAGCGACTATAATAATTATAGTCTATATTTCTCAATAATCCTAATGTATACATCAAGATCTATCACGTAAGGAATAACCAGGTAGGTTCATATCGGAGTTAGGGTCTGTTTGGTATACAAAGTATACTATTTGGAAATCTCACTTTAAATACCTCAATAAATCCAACCTACACATCACTCCCGTAAGTAGATCAATCAGTATAATGACTTGGAATCATTAATAAATCTTAATTATAGGCTCATAATAACAATTATAACTATAACTAAAAGTTACGCTTTGATACAAATAGGTGTAGCTTAACTTACAAAGTAATCTAGTGAAAAGTAAGAATTACACGGGAAGAACTCTGACCCGGGAGCTTCTATTCACTAGCTATCTGACACCGGAGGACTTCACCGAAAGGATCGGGAATTTGGGAGTAAAATGGACTAAAGGTGGAAAGAGATCCAGAGAGAAGTGAAGTGAAGGGATGAAGAAATGATCTAAAGATCGAAGGTTTATATAATTGAAATTAGAGTGTGTGTCATGCATAGAACAGGTGTGCACCGCGCATCTGGTCGGAAGAGCTTGAAAATAGTTTTATTGTAAAACTTATAATTTGCCAACTTTAAAATATTTGAAATGGTTTAAAAAGTGTTTGAACATTATATGAACCCCATGTCTTTATAATAAATAAAGGGTTTTTATTAAAAAGACTAAAATGAGTTTATAGCATTGTAACAACAAACTATAAAACTAGTGATTATTTTTGCGTCAAAACTTAATATATGATATTAGTGTTTTAAACGTAATGCAAAATATTGATATTATGTTTTATACATGCCAAATGAGATTTAAAACATAAGTATCATCACCCAAGTTTGTGTTTATTAAAATATGATTTTTATCATAAGTTGCATAAAAATGAGTTTACAAAATAAAATGAGTTTATTATACAAATTCATGAAGTCATACGATTTTTTTGTTAAAAAAATATTTAAAATTGTGAATTTAGAACTCATCCAAAATTCCAAGTATTAAGTATAAAATGAAATTTTATTAAGACTATTACCGGTTCTTAAAACACTTCTACGACTATTAAAATATCGGATTTTAGTTCATAATTGATCGTGACTAATGGCAAATAAACTGAAGTTTTATTTGAGACCTAAAGAACCTTATAACAAGTGATATGATTTTTACAAAATGGTACATGAATTGTAGGATGCATGTAATTAGGGTTTCACTAGGCCCATTAGTAACATGTTTGGGATTTTAGGTCAATTAGGGCTTCATTGGGTCCATTAGGGTTTTAGTCCCTTTGTCCAAACATCCCAAAAAATCAAACACAACAAGCACATCGTCACCCGACACGGCGGTCGGTGGCGGCAGGAGGTGGCAGCCACCACCTCATGGTTGTGGTTATCAGTTTCTTTCATTATTCCTTTAGCTTTTACAAATTTTACAATGCAAATTTCCAATATAAACTCACACTAAAAAATAAACAGACACACACATATCCATCGAATTAAATACCCACATACATGCTTCTAATTTGCGAGATGCACCCCAGCCACCCTCTCGGTGGCTCACAACGGCGACAGCAACAATTTTGGGATGACATCCACCACCTTACGGTGGTGGTGGTGATCTCTTTTGGTTCTCAGTCAAGCAACAACGCACCACAACAAGACCTTGCTTGGAATCTAGATGCAAACACCACTTGGTGGTGCATAACAACGACGCCAACAGTTAAAGCAACCACAACGGTGGATATCGGTGGCAGAACGAAGAGGAAGAAGAAGAAGGACAACGGCGACTGGTCACGAGCGACGGTGGCAACGATAGCCACTATCGGTAGTAAATTTTCATAATAAAAAATGTGAAAAAAATTAATTTAAAAACACATTTATCACAATAATAAAATCTCAATGTGTCATAATGTAAAATCATCAAATATCATAATAAAAAATGTATATATCAAAACTCCAGGATCTTCTCAATCATAACTCAATCTTGGATGTGTGTACAATCAAGTCGGCGCTTTCCATTTATCCTAAGAAGTACCTGAAACACATAACACATAACACGATTGATGGGTTTTGGTCATATGAACATTCCTATGTGCACATACAAACCCTAATGCTTGGATCTAGGTTTCTCTAATTAAACATGCATTGAATCCAAGACTTCTAATGGCTAATTAGGTATAAGAACAAAACAAAACCAGAGTTAGAAGCTTACCTTGAAACACTTGTTTGATCTTCTTGTTCTTGGAGCTTTATAGTCACAATTATCACTCCTCTAATGGCTTACAAACACCAACTAGCAAAGAGAATGATTTGAGAGAGAGGAGAAAGGAGGAAATCAGCCAGGGTTTCCTTGCTGTAGAAGAGGTGTGGATTTCCCTATCCCAAGGGGTCTATTTATACTTGTAAGGCTCCTAGGGTTTCACCCTTAAACCCTAATTGGATAACTTAGACTCTAAGCAATCCTAATCCTTTCCTTAGATAATCCTTGGACGATTTGAGGCTTATCCTAGCCCTAGAAATCGTCCAACCCTATCTCTTAAGGATTCATAGCCCAAAGTGTAACTATCAAACAATTGACAGTTTATACCCTCTTATTTAATTAATCTCTTTAAGTCACCAAATTAATACTAATTAATCTATGACTTATATTAATCAAATAACAATATTATTATTCCTTATATTATTCTCATAATATATTAATAATATCTATTCTCTCATAATAAATCATCCTATCAAGTTGCTATGGTGAAGGCAACCCAAAAGGACCATGCACAATCGGGTCAAATACTTCCTAATATAGTTGCAGCCTTAGACACTATTCCAACAGTCTCCCACTTGGATAAGTCTAGTAACTATATGCACAAGTACAATCCGATTTGCAATCGTAGCTCTCAAAGACGCTGTCAAACTCTGATCTAATCAATCTTGTCCTTTAGATAAGGGATCGTACAGTCCTCTGTTAGATATCATGCTGACAATTCTATGGAATATTAGTCTAGCATTTGGTTTCTCGATCTCCGATTTATTTGACATAGAACTTAATCGAACACATCAATTCAGTTCTGACCAGGCCCGACACATAAGTCAAATCAAATCATCGAGCGGTCGAGATATCGCTTTTTCCTTCTTAGGATAAAAGTTACAGATAAACTTCGACTTATATGCATTTACTTATTCATTAATCAACTATACACAACAATGCGTTTTATAACATCGAGTTACCAATGCGTTTTCGCATTATCAATGTACAATCAATTAACAAATAACAAACCATATATCTAGGTTTTAAGACTATATGATATTATCGTCTTGCGATCACCCTTTTTATCACATTCCATAAGGTGATTCCAGCAAGCGCGGGTTTGTTCCAATGCTCAAAACTAGTTCATAAGCACTCATGAACGTTGCAATAATCTTTTGCTATGTCTAATACCATTTAGACACTCTACACACCTATTCATGACAATCTTCATTCATATCTACTTCCGACATATGAACGATTGTGGACAATTTGAATAATTCGATTATTCTTAATAAACTCAATTATTCTGGAAGTCAAAACATGCAAAGTGAAACAATAGTTAAACAATTAACATAAGACAGTAACATTACTTATAAATAAAACTCCTTTATTTAATCATCAAATGTTAATTACATTTATCTATTACACGTTTCTAATACTATCTAATCTATGCTAATATCATCCTTCAGCCCAATACTCCTAGCATGCTGCAAGTGCTTAACCCTACTCAGTCCCTTCGTAAGCGGATCTGCTGGGTTATCTTCTGATGATATCCTCTTCACTACGAGTTGTCCTTCTTCTACACGATGTCTAATAAAGTGATATTTTCTGTCGATATGTCGTGATCTACCATGATCTCTCGGTTCCTTGGTCAAGGCAACCGCTCCTTCATTATCACAGAAAATCTCCATGGGCTCCTTTATGGCAGGTACAACTCCAAGATCACCAATGAAGTTCTTCAGCCATATTGCCTCCTTCGACGCTTCGCTCGCTGCAATGTACTCTGATTCGCACGTTGAATCAGCTACGGTTTCCTGCTTGGAACTTTTCCAAGTCACTGCTCCTCCATTCAGGGTAAAGACCCAGCCCGACTGCGAACGGTAGTTGTCCCTGTCGGTCTGAAAGCTGGCGTCACTATACCCTCGCACCTTCAAGTCATCACTCCCTCCGAGGACTAAGAACCATTCCTTCGTCCTCCGAAGGTACTTAAGGATATTCTTCACCGCAATCCAATGGGCTCTGCCAGGGTTCCCTTGATATCTACTAACCATGCTCAAAGCAAAGGCTACATCAGGGCGAGTACAAGTCATAGCGTACATGATTGAGCCAACTGCGGAAGCGTATGGAACTCGGCTCATTTCAGCTATCTCAGCTTCGGTACTCGGACTTTGAGTCTTACTCAACTTGGCATTACTTTGTATCGGTAATTCTCCCTTCTTCGAGTTTTCCATACTAAAACGTTTTAGTACCTTCTCTAAGTAAGTGTT